TATAATATATATTCGACCACTTTGAAGTTGCTTTGTTCACCGGCTGAAATAGCAGGAAAACGCGTTTGCGACAGTTAAATTTTCAAAATTTTCTCCTAACGGTACCGTCTTCGAGGACTGTAAACGATTGATTGGAATTCCGAGTCAGCCACCTTAATTAGGCTATATTAGACCGCTTGAAGTTGCTTTGTTCACTGGTTGAAATATCGGGAAAACGCGTTTGCGGCAGTTAAATTTTCAAAATTTACTCCTAACGGTCCCGTCTTCGAGGACTGTAAACGATTGATTGGAATTCCGAGTCAGCCACCTTAATTAGGCTATATTAGACCACTTTGAAGTTGCTTTGTTCAACGGCTGCAATAGCAGGAAAACGTGTTTGCAGCCGTCAAATATTCCAAAATTGTCTTTGGGGGGGGGGGGTATACAAGGTCGCTGCTGTCTGTAAACCCGAAATTTTTTCGGGCATTTCGGGTTCTGCCCCCCCCCCTAACTGTCATCGAGCCCCTACGCCTATGTGCAGAACAGATAGACGTTAAACCCCACTTCATTTCTATCTTCCTTTAATGCGAAAGATGTTGGTTTTACCTCGCCAAGTGGGTGCAGAAAAGTAGGACGTTCAACCTCATTTCATTTGGTTTTGCCTCGGCGGGGGTGAACTATGACCCCTGCCCACAGATGTAGCCCGTTAAGCATTTAATACTACTCGTTTTATTCCGTAACTTTGATCACTCGGTATGTTGAGCATCGTCCGCCACGGTCATAGTTTATCAAAACTATGTTTACAAACAAAGTAAATGATTTGATTGTAGTGGAAGAACAGCATGAAAAATAATTAACTAAACCTGCGAATTAAAGCTAAACGAAGGGTCTTCATATTGATTCGTTCATATAAAAAGTAATTGTAGAAATATTTGAAGGATTCGCATTCATTGGATGGAATATCAGTTTGGATACGAACATTTGTCTAAGAAAGTTGTTAAGGGGTCTCACGTGTAGCATGGATTCTTATCTTGGTCGTGAGAGAGAGAGAGAGAGAGAGAGAGAGAGAGAGGGGGGGGGTAAATGGGTCATTTCGGGACTAACATTTGGTACAGTTGTTTTTCAACAATTCGCTTGTTCGAAAGGGTCTTTAACTAAAAAGGGTGTGGGGGGGGGGGGGGGGTGCTGAACGACCTGGAGAAAACCCATGGAATTTGACAGGCGACCCTACTTCGTGTCACGTTCAAACCTTGTATCAAAACCACGCCACTTGACTCAACGACAGACCGTATAATCGAAAACGCATGCGTTAGATGTTTTATATCACCCACTCCCTGTATTCATTTGTTAGGATTATGATTAACTTCACCACACACCAGTGATTTCTATCTCAGCATGTGAGAATTCTCCACTACCGCAATCGGTTCAATAAAACCAGGTTATTGTAGGCGTGGTTGTGTTGCTAAGTGATGATATGTCTATATGAGTTATGTAATAAAGATATGATATATAAGGAACCAAACTGTGAGATATACACCCATATATTATATTAATATGATGTCATCACGATATATTCTACTTGATGTTCTAGATGTAGATCAAAACACACTAGGAGGGGCGATAACTCTCGCGTTCACCTAATCATCTAATTCTTTCACTCTAATTTATCTGGCTCTTTATAATTTCATAATGTGGATGATACAATTCCCCATCCCTGTGTAATAATTACAGAAATCGTCGAAACGTAATGGTAAAGTGTGTGTGTCAAAAATTCGCTTGTTCACGGGATTCGCAGAGAAAGGGGAGGGGAGGGGGCGATGAAAACCAGCAGGGTAGCCTAATTCAGGCGTCGTTTATTACGTACAAACATTGACTTGTATAGATGATAGATCTGTTGATCTACAGGGTAAGATCACTAACCATCCCTATCCAACCATAAACCCACATGGTTCAACTCTCTCTATCCGGCCATAAAGCCACACGGTTCAACTTTCTCACACTAACCCTCTCTATCCACACGGTTCTACTTTCTCACACTAACCCTCTCTGTCCGACCATAAACCCACACGGTTTAACTTTCTCACACTAACCATCCTTATCCGACCATAAACCCACTTGGTTCAACTCTCTCTATCCGGCCATAAACCCACACGGTTCAACTTTCTCACACTAACCCTCTCTATCCGACCATAAACCCACTTGGTTCAACTCTCTCTATCCGGTCATAAACCCACGCGCTTCAACTTTCTCACACTAACCCTCCTTATCCGACCATAAACCCACATGGTTCAACTCTCTCTATCCGGCCATAAACCCACTCGGTTCAACTTTCTCACACTAACCCTCTCTATCCGACCATAAACCCTAACCGTCTCTATCCGACCATTAAACTTGTCTAAATTATGACGTTTTATTGCGCGTGTGTTTGAGAACTGAAGTATCCCCATGTTAATACAGAATAAGATTGATCATTGATCAGTTTCTGTGATTGGCCTCAGTATGGACGATCTTCTCACCAAATTAATTCTATATATACCATGTTAACCATTCTATTAATTAGTCATGGTCCCACTAGTCATGTCAACAGCTAATAATATTTACACTGGCTCAATAACATCTCGTCAAAACACGTTTCAAGGGATTCGGCATCTTCTCACCTCGCTTGGTCGTCTTAACCTGGATTTATGAAATGAAGTGGGGTTTAACGTCCTACTGTTCTACCCGACTGGGCTAATGAAGACGGGCATACGCCATACAGTGTGCTATGAGAGCAATTTTGCCCGGACAGTGGCGCTACGGCCTATTCTTATATCGAATTCCAACTGTCAAGGGTACGTTTCGTGCACGTCAATGTGTACACGGGACCTCTGTTTTTCGTCCCATCCGAACGACTATATGGTTGTTCTTGCCATGCCCTACATCTTACATCACTGACAAGGCGGAACCACGCCGGAAAAACCCGATGAACTTTCTCGGCCAACACCTGACCTGGAGCGAACACGCGACTTAGAGGCTAGCAAGCCAGCGTCTTACTCACCGAGACACCGCCCCCCCCCCCTTGTTTTATAGAGAGTGTCAGCCGTTCAGTATCTGAATGAATGAGTAAAACGGGGTTTAACTTCACTGCACCGACTGTCAAATCATCAATCAATTGTATCAGGTATTGACAAATAAATGGGGTTTAACGTCCTACTTTTTTGCACCGACTGGGCTAATGAAGACGATCGGTGTATTATTAGACTACAAAGCGTGCACGAGGCAGAATATTTGTGGAAGACCGGATACCTCTTACCACTAGATTCACCCAATGACGTCTCGAAGCTGGATTCGTCTGGACATCTCACAAATGGTCTGGACAGTCGCGTTGATTTTATTATTCCCCAAATGTCATAATTCAATATTATTGGCATTCTACTTTTTGGAGCCACGATGGATCCTGCGTTGGCAGAGAAATTTCCTCGGGACTTTCCGGCGTGGTTCCATCTTGTCCTTAGTGCGGGACGAAAAACCAAAGTCCCGTGTACGCATAGGAGTACAAGTAAAAGAACCAGGACCGATGGAATTCGATATAAGAGTAGGCTGATGTCACTCATAGCTCACTGTATGCCCGTCTTCATTAGCCTTGGACAGTAGGACGTAAAAATCTCATTTTATTTCATTTCGATTCACTTCTATATATTATGATATTCGCACACTATACCGTTCTATATGATGGTATTCCCCTGTCCACCGGTACACTTCTATATATTATGATATTCGCACACTATACCGTTCTATATGATGGTATTCCCCTGTCCACCGGTACACTTCTATATATTATGGTATTCGCACACTATACTGTTCTATATGATGGTATTCCCCTGTCCACCGGTACATTAATACACCTAGCATTATATTGGAATTTACACAGTCAATCGATTCTATCAATACCACACTACAAACAGCGCAACATCATCTCTATATCATTGTTTACCCTGGATTGCGCATTGTTGAAATGTATTATTCTAACATCATTTTACACTTAGTTTATCATACTCAGCACGTAATTTGCGCAATAGCAAATTCACTAAACATGCATGTGAAATTGAATTAACGAGTTTACGCTCCGAGCAATTCAACAATTGTATTGAAATTGATAATTATGGTAAATTATATCAATATTTGACTGATCCTCTTTAACAAGGTTTTAGATTGTATTCTGTGTTTGGCCCAGTCCCCTGGATAGGGCAAATGTCCACATGAAAATGGATTGACCTAACTAAACTAAACTCCACACGGTTGCCGATATCGCGAAAACATCGGGATGACATTTTGTAGGATAGCGATCGTGATGAAGAGAATAAAATAAAACAGTGGCTAGGTGATAACATTACACATCATAGTCAAACTATTTTATTTATAACCAAACTTCACGTAGAGGATAGATTTTTTTATTTGTCTCTGTTATTTTTTAACCCGATGGAAACTTTATTTGTGGCAAGTTTTATCGATTATTGATCAAATGTTATCGATCACTGATCAAAGTGTTTTTCTTTAATCTTTAATCTTAGTTAAATCGACAATCCGCCATATTCCGGAGTATTCTTAATAAAGTGTCAGACCTTATAAATGTCGGAGGTCGAACCAGGATGAAGCACAGGCCTCCAGGGGGCATAGGCTTTCAGGTAGCACAGGCCTTCTAGTAACGTAGGCGTTCATGTAGCAGGCTTCCAGGAAACACAAACCTTCAGAGACCATAGACAATCAGGAAACATAGATCCGCTGGATCTGATAAATGCACCACGGGAAAGCATAGTCCTTTAGGGAGCATAGACATTCAGGAAACAGGTTGAATCCGTACGCACGACCCCCCACGGAGCACAGGCTAGGCCTATGTTGACTCAAAACAATAATACGTGGCCGGAAATAAAGTTAACGAGGAAATGGGGGAGTGTACTAGCCATGCGCTTAGAAAATGATGTTTTAGCGAAATTTAGTCTTTTAATTTGATAATTAAGTTTTTATTCTTTTGTATATTGCAGGTTCTAGAACGCCACAATGACTCAAGTGCCGAAACCAGTGAAGGAGTTATTTACGAACGGATGCAGTGGTTGTATCAACAAATGTCGTGAATCGAGGAAACTCGTGTTAGTTATTGTGTTTATAGCTTTGTTTCTGGATAATATGCTTTTAACTGTTGTAGGTAAGTCATTCGTCATTTAGTATACATTAATAGCATTTTGGATTGATGATTGCTCCAGCATATTACCAACATGTAATGTTGAGGTTGGTGAGGAGAGGGGCGAGTTTGTGAAAAGAGGGTTAGTTGGGGAGGAGGGGTGGGGTTGATAGGAATGACGGGGTTGTGAGGAGAGGGATTAGGAGAGGAGGAGGGGTGTGTTAGTTGGGGTTGGGGGGGGGGGGGCGAACAAGTTGGCCAGGAGAGGCGGGGCTGGTAGTCGTGTGGTAAGGGAACTAGATTCCCGAGAAATATATATCCCGGTTCAAATCCCGGCATATTCCGAGAAGGATCACTGGATTTGTTTAAACCAGCGCCATGTAAATTGTTGCCTAGTGCTTCGGATTGGACGAAAATTCAAGATCCCCTATATACCTTTTGACTTGCGCACTAAAGAGTGCTTTACTTTCTAAACAATATTCACCCCCACTTCCTCGCTTTTCGTTGGGGATCATAGAAAGAAATACCGGTATATTGATCTCAAAAGGGTCTACATTCCCTAGGCAACTCTTGACATACTTACTGTGGGGTCATATGTCACGATACCTGCGATCCTTAATATAGTTTCATCCATCCTAAATATAATATACATGACGTATCAGGGACTTTAAGGCTGTTAATCAATACCTATTTTATTTTTCAGTTCCAGTAGTGCCAAATTTTCTTCGGAAATTAGAAGATGCTCACAGGAAAGAAAATGTGGGTAAAAATCGGACGGTGTATGTAGGACCTTATTATGAAATTATTTGTTATAATAGAACAAACGATTCCGAATCCGACAATCATTACACGTGGAAGGGAGTGACTTATCTTCCAAAATATTATGTGCCAACTCCGACTATAGAAAACGTATGTGAAAACGTTTCAATAGACGCACGCAACGTAACAGAAACGTTTTATATAACGACAGAAAGTGCTTTTGGACACGAGGATTTAGCCAATGAGAATATCAAAGTAGGACTTATGTTTGCTTCTAAAGCCATGATACAGTTGATAGTCAATCCCTTTATAGGTTTAATAACAAACAGGTAAGATCAAATATTTTATATATATATATTTTACTTTAATTATCTTCCTTTTTTTCTTTTGAACATGTACGGGCGTGTTATGAACCTACATCCGAACATGACGTCATCACTACCATCTTGGAATTGTGACGTCATCACTGCCATCTTGGAATTGTGGCGTCATCACTACCATCTTAGAATTGTGACGTCATATCACAATTGTATTGTACAGGGAGTGAGAAAATGGCACAGGTACATTAATGTGCTGGCTCACATACACTATGTTAAAGTTATATTTTTAAATCAGCAACATATTCCGTAGACTTGGCCATTTCTGCACATAGTGAACTATCTACTCTACTTTGACAAACGATCTCTGTCCTAAATGGCCGCCATATCCAACAATTAGTATACTGGTTTTTAAAGCACGTTCTACTCATTTTCACGCCTGTTATACACACAAAACGACTAACTAAACCATTTCATTTTAATTAAATGGAAGCAGAATAAGTACTTCTCAAAATTTCGAAATGCACCCTATGGTTTTGACTTAAATTGTCGATTTAGGACTTAAAATGCCGATCAACTAACTTAATGTCTGTTCCCAAACGGGGCTAATTGTAAACAGGCAAGCTAAGTTTAGTATGCAGTTTTCTTCTTCGTCTTGAGGCGACGTTCTTGGATTAAAGTCTTTTAGACTCCACTAATTTCTCTGCGATCGACATCCTTGCTTTAAGGGTATTTATTGACTTCCTTCAATTTCCGATATGGCGTCACAATTCCAAGATGACGTAATATTCGATTCCTGTATGCTACAATCGTGCCTGTTCCCGCATTTACAAGTTACTGACTGTTGTAAACGATATTTTGCTAGTTGTTACTGTGGACAAAATGTCGATCTGCTCCAGAGATAGAGAGTTGCAGTAGTTCGGTGAGTAGGAAGCGGCTTACTAGTCTAGAGGTTTCGGGTTCATTCCGGCGATGGCCGAGAACGATACTCCAGATTTTTGCCGGTGTGGTTTCCCCTTGTTAGTGTTGCGGGGTTGAGGCTCTGACAAGGACAGCTGTCTAGTCGTTCGGGTTGAACAAAAAAAACAGATTGTCGTGCACGTAAAATAATTCTTGACAGTTGGAATTCGATAAAAGAGTAGGCCGTAGTGACGCCGTCCGGGCAAAATTTCTCTTATAGCACACTGTATGGCGTATGCACGTCTTCATTAGCCCTGTCGGAGCTGAGCAGTAGGACGTTAAACCCCATTTCATTTCATTTCATATTAGAACAATATTAGTTTTAAATTGGATGACGAGACTACCCGCTCCGGTTCTGACATACCAATAGACGTATCAATGGAAACCAATGTCAAATTCATATGATCGTGACTTTTGTTTGGATTGACTGATTTGAAGAATTGTTTAACCATAAAATCTTTAGTACGGCTAATTTCCATGGAGGATAATCTTTTAAAGAGGTATTATCAACAAGATGAAATATAGAACTAATTTATATCCTATTGAAAATAACACTATACATAAGGTGCCCATGAACACGTGGTTATATAAGCACATCTAATTATATAATACCTATTTATTGGAATGGGATTAAATTAAATTAAATCAAATGGCGTTTCTGCACTTATAGCACCAATGAAGACGATCCTACGCCATGCAGTTTTCTATGGGGACATTTTACACGGACAACGACGTTTCGGTATAAAAAGCGGGAAAACATACTCGAAAATCCTGACCTCCAAGCAATATTGTCTCTTTAATATATGTTTTATTTTATTCTGGGGAGTTATCCCTTTATTCTTGATTTCGTGATTTTGACCAAATATAGATGATCTTCTAGACTAGACTTGTCTTTAACGTACATTATTGTTTGTCATTGACCAATGAAATTCATCTTTTTACGGGTGGCCATTTTTCACGGTCTCTTGCTTATTGCCTCCCTTTGTCGTTCGGGTTAATAAAAAAATTGAGATCGATGGAAAACTAAACCGAATCCGTCTCAAAAACAGGAAATAAGAGAGTAAATGATGAATGGTGTATTTGACGTGGTTATTGGTTTTATCGATATGGGAGTTCTAGAAGTCACTGATTTCTATATAATAAATAAAAGGCCAGAAATAAAACGGCGGCCATAATTACCAGTTAGGGCAAGACGGGTTTCTACATGCGCATATTGTCGTTTCCGGTTTGACGTTGTTACTAGGCAATATGCTTCACGTTCACTTCACGAGCGGAAATACTATAATACGATAAATAGTGGCAATAGAAATTATCAAATCATTGACAGATAAAATCAGTTATCCTTTCACCATCGATTACCAATAAATTATTAAACAAGAAAAGATTCTATCGGAAACATCTCCACGGCGCCTTTAATTCTTTAAGTTATAAGTCTTCATTTTCATTCGATAAAATTAGACGCGGGTCTTCATTCTGTTTTTTTTTTTGTTTTGTTTTGGGTTTTTTTTGTTGCTATTCTAAAGCAGCCGTAAGTCATTTTGATAAATGTCATTCTCCCTTGATTCTACGGTGGAATCAATCCTACACGAGTTTCTGATTTTCTTGTATCACGACTGTGGTGATGTGTCTTTTATTTCAACATAACATCAAATAAAACACATATCTTGTAAACCGCTATTGTGTTTTTTGTAGAATGTAATAGGATTCCTCTCGGTCACTCTCGTCTCCTCTATAAATACGTCATTGATTACTGACGTGGACGTAAAACCCCAGGAATGAACTGACACTTGATATTATTAAATCAATGATGTGTGTGTATCACAATCCTGTCACTTCAACTCATCTCTAAGTACATCACTGGGGGCGTGTATCACATGCCTGTCACTTCACCTCATCTCTACGTACATCACTGGGGGCGTGTATCACAAGCCTGTCACTTCAACTCATCTCTACGTACATCACGGGGGCGTGTATCACAAGCCTGTCACTTCAACTCATCTCTAAGTACATCACTGGGGGCGTGTATCACAAGCCTGTCACTTCAACTCATCTCTACGTACATCACTGGGGGCGTGTATCACAAGCCTGTCACTTCAACTCATCTCTACGTACATCACTGGGGGCGTGTATCACAAGCCTGTCACTTCAACTCATCTCTAAGTACATCACTGGGGGCGTGTATCACAAGCCTGTCACTTCAACTCATCTCTACGTACATCACTAGGGCGTGTATCACAAGCCTGTCACTTCAACTCATCTCTAAGTACATCACTGGGGGCGTGTATCACATGCCTGTCACTTCACCTCATCTCTACGTACATCACTGGGGCGTGTATCACAAGCCTGTCACTTCAACTCATCTCTAAGTACATCACTGGGGGCGTGTATCACATGCCTGTCACTTCACCTCATCTCTACGTACATCACTGGGGCGTGTATCACAAGCCTGTCACTTCAACTCATCTCTACGTACATCACTGGGGGCGTGTATCACAAGCCTGTCACTTCAACTCATCTCTAAGTACATCACTGGGGGCGTGTATCACAAGCCTGTCACTTCAACTCATCTCTAAGTACATCACTGGGGGCGTGTATCACAAGCCTGTCACTTCAACTCATCTCTAAGTACATCACTGGGGGCGTGTATCACAAGCCTGTCACTTAAACTCATCTCTAAGTGTATCACTGATTCAACTTGGTGCTGTTAAACCTCTAACTTAATATTAACCATAATGTTCAAAATTTAAAAAAAAAGAATTAGAATTCAATGATCAGTCGATTTCAATGAATATTGATGTTGTTGTCTTGTCGAGAAAATATGGGATCCTAATATCCAATATTCAAGACACAGTGAATATTTTAAAATCAGTACACGATTCGTGTACTCTATGGACATAATGGTTTCCATCGACATTTGTAATGAACAAAGTAAAGCATATTCCAGCCAGTAGACAATATGAGAGTAATTGAAATGACTGATTCACAAACGACAAAATAATAATAATAAAACGAAAGGTAAAGTCTGGACAATTGCCGTTTATTTGGCTATTCGTTTATTTGATTAGAATTACAATAAGTTTTAAACATGGAATGTAAAACACTTTTTATACACTCAAATTATATTAATTTGTGCTCTTAGATTTCTTTTCGACTATTTTAAGGTTCCAAAATTAGAGCTATGCGCCCTTTAAAAGACGAAAGAAATATCAGTTTAACAAATGCAATAAGCCTGCAATGCACAATGTCTAGTTTGTTCGGATTGGACGAAAACCCGAGGTCCTGTACAAGTTGGTGTGCACGTAGAAGAGCCTTTGCCAGTTGGATGTCCGGCATACATTATGCTGTTCTACTATATAACTAGCTCATTTCGGGACTAACATATGGTTCAATTTTATTTTAATAATTGGCCTGCACGTAGGGGTCTTTAGCAGCGGGGGGATACAGGAGAAACCCCATAAGGTTGGACAGGCGATCCAACTCCTTGTCACGTACAACGGGAAATAGAAACCACACCACGTGACTCAATGACAAGCCTTATGGACCAACGCGTACGCGTTAACCATTCGGCCAACCAACCACCCGATTTGAAAACAACTAATGTCAGAATCATCACTAGTTTTAAAACATTTTGATGGTGTCAAACTAAAACAAATCTGACATTCTTCTGTTATTTTCAGACGTTGATTACAAATTTAACTTACATTAAAATATGGTATTATGCACAGGTTGATTTAATCAAGTTATTTACATATGAAGGTGTAATTATTATATAAAATATGAAATTGGGTAAAAACACAAAAACAATCTTATACATATAAAAAAACTCACAGTTTTTTTTGTGTTTTTTTTTTTTGGGGGGGGGGGAGTGTTTTTTTTTTAAATTGCTGTCGTGAGAAGAGGGGGAAATGTTTCCTTTACGACCTGTGGCATTATATGAGTCGATAATGACCGACTTTCGCCAACCCCTCAAACGAACTGTAACAACAAACCTAGCTGTGTTTTTTAACGATACGGGCTAGAAAAAGATCAAAAGTATTAGCCAATAATCCCAA